TGATGAAAGAAAGACTAGTGCACAAACGCTTGACAAAACCTCCAGAAGCTGTAGCGGTCTAGCGGTTTCAATACAGGTTGACGTGCCTTCAAAAGGAGTCACATATTTCTCAAATGCAACTTCGGATTTACATAGTGACGTGCGGCGACCCTGTAAATTGCGTGGCCGCAGGCCATGCTTGCAAACAGGACGTGCTCAAAAACACTGGTATTTACGAGGTTTCGTTGCCGTCGATCCACAGCCGCGGCAAGGTCTAAGGCCACGCTTGAAGACAGGAAGAGCTGAAAACACTGGTATTTACGGTATTTTGTAGCCGTCGATCCAAAGGCGCACCACGGTTGAGCGCTGGAAAAGCGCAGAAAACCGTGTAAATACCGGCGTTTTCTGCCGGGAAGGTGCACAAAACCCTGTAAATACCATAGTTTTGTGCAATTTTGAAGCCTCCAAAAGCCTCAAAAACCCTTTCTGACAAAATCTTTCCTGGTTTTTGGTCTTTTTTCGGTCATTTTTCTAACCGAGACGCATCAAAAACCATCGGTTTTTGCGGTGTTTTTTGCCGGACAGCCACAAAAAACGCTGTAAATTCCATGATTTTTGGTCACTGCTGAGGACTGGAAGAGCTGAAAACACTGATATTTACAGTGTTTTCGAACGGTTGACCCCGAGGCGCGCTAGGGTGGAGTTGAAAGGGGCAGCAAACGAAGATGTCGGGGACCATTTCTCCGAGAGATAGGCTGCAGCTCTGGGTTAATACATTTTTGCTAAAGCAAAAGGAAAACTCAGGTAGCGTAACCGCTACCTTTCGTGATCACCGTGTTCCTCTGGCCCCCCTTCGACGCCTGCGACAGCTGGATTGATATCAGATTCACCATCTCGATCTCTCTGGTTATCTTTCTTCTTTCTCCTCCGTCTCCGTGGTTTCTTGGGCGGAGGTTCCTCTTGTTGTGTCTCCTGACCTGCCGTGGCCTCGTCTTCATGCCCCACACCTGACAGTATGCGATGAAGTATCGTAGCCAAGCCGTCTGGTCTTGGTAAACATCTCCCGTCATCATCATTCACCTTGATGTAGGGTATGTTGTCATGCACCGATAACGGAATCTTGTTCGCGTTCTGGTCGATGAGGTATGGCAACTGATTTGCCGGCCATATGAATGAATACCCTTGTTCCATGCACCGTTTCCCGATGGAGAAGACTGATGGTGTGCTCTCCAACACGTGTGCCTCGGACATCATGGGTAATTCGTCCACATTGATGTCCACCATCTCTGATGTACTAGTTACACCGTTCGCTGTCATGAAGCTCACGGATTTGGGTCCTTCCTTGGTGGTAAGGCCCATGGCGTTGACTTTCTCTCTTGAGATCAAGTCGTGTCCACATCCCGTGTCCATGATGAAGCGTATCGGTGGTCCATCATACCTCTCCACAGCCATGAACATCGTGTCTCCCGGTATCGTGTAGTTGACGGAATCCTTCCTTACTACCTCGCTGGTGTTGAAGTCAGACAGGTCGACGTTCACCTCGATTCCTTCATCTTGAGTGATTTGTATCCATGCCTTGGCAATGTGTTCAGCAGAATATAGCTCCATCATCTTGCCTTTGGCATGTGCTACTCGTGCAGCTATATTGTTCACTCTGAGGGCTCTCAACGATGAAATGAGCTCGGTATCCACCTTCTGCACCTCATCCTTCTTCTTCCTGAGAGGACGGGTATTTAGCTCGTTACCAGGATCACAGGTAAACGTGGTCACACTTGCCCGGTCGTCGAATCTGACTTTAAAACGAAGCGCCAGCTTACCTTGTTGTACGTTGGGAAGTGCGGGTCGCGCGTCCTCGCCATCACTCTCGATGTCTCCGCAAAGCGTGAAGGCTGGCGCAGCCGGTTTGGGCTTGGCTTTGCCTTTAGCCTCTTGTTTTGTAGCAGGAGCAGCGTGATGCTGGCGTCGACATTTGTCCCCGAACTTGCACGATCCTTTCTGCCAATTCCAACAGACCTGATCCTTCATTGGCTTAGGGCTAGTGCTCCTGCCACCAGGACTCTTTGATCTGTCACCCTTGAGGTTTTCTGGTTTCTTAGCAGAACTTTTGTGTTTCTCTTGGTGACTAAACTTGCATTTGTCTCCTCTAGAACATCCGTTTTTCCCATAGAAGTGGAAGGCGCATCCTATCTTGGACGTATCTGCTGGAGTCGCTGACCTGCCACGATCTCCTTTTGGGCTCTTCGTGGTTGATCTTCCACGATCTTGCTTCTTGTCCTTCTTGTTGTGGTCCTTCGGATTAGCCTGAGGAAGTACTGGAGCGGCGTCCTTCGGTGGATCGGCCTTGGTATTCTTGGGTTTCGCTTTAGGGTCCTTCTTCTCCGCAGCGGGTGTGGCTTTCACGAGGTTCCCAAAAGCCTTTTCCCTTTCTTTCTTGTTTGTGGTCTCAATTGATTCCGTATCCACTTCGCCATGATCTCTCGTAGCTTCTGGTAGGTCTTATCCGGATCCTTATCCAACATGTTGTCGTACACAGACAAGTCTAACGCCATGACCTTGGAATCCTTAATCTTATCCCAAAGCAGGTTGCGAAGTGCTTTGTCAGGAAGCATATCATCCGCATCCATACCTGATATGATCTCATCCCACTGTCCAAGGAATCTGGATAGTTGATTATCCCCAGGGAACTTTAGATCGAATAAGTGCTTGGATGCATACATCACATCGACGTTGTCGGCACTCCGGAAGCTATCGACGATCAACGCTAACATTTCTCGTCCCTTGACCATTCCAGGAGTTGTACCTCTCGCACGTCTCTGCATCATCTGCCTCACCTTCAGTTGTACGTCATGAGATCTCTCACCTGCTGCGTGGATGATCGTATGTAGGGTGATACCTAGCTTAGCGTCTATGCTAGCGAATCTTGCTTCGCCTGATGTCTCGAGCAGAAATGGGTCATACGGTGATCTGAAGGCATCCGAGAGCCACTGGATCCAGTCTTCTTGTCTTTCGTCGCCCGATGCCGTCACGACTGCCGCTACAACCTGGGATTTCCAGACCTCCAGGTCGTGTATCTTGGGCCATGCAGGGATGTTGATCTTCTCGTGTTCCTTCCGAGATATCTTGGAGCCACCCGAGCTAGAGGATGAAGCGGCACCATGTTCGGTTGCGGCTGCATTCTCAGCATTCAAGCGCTCCTCTTCGTACCTCCTCCGGTACTTATTCCTCTCATCTCTGAGCCGTGCTGCATGCGCTTCGAATTCCATCATGTCCTGCTGGTTCTGCATCATACCTTCGTAGTACTCCATCGCCTCTTTCTCCTCGGACCTTAATGACTTTTCAGTACGTCCAAGTTCCGCTCTAAGCTTGGTCATCATCTCGTTCTCCACATTGGATTCTGATCCCATGCCTGGTGGTTTCATCTTCAGTGCGACCTTCAGTTGTGCTTCACTTGCGCTTGATTCGATCAATTCTTCCTGAAGACGTTTCAGCATCCTTTCTTTACGTAGAATGTCTTCTTCCAACATGTTCACCTTGACTTCAGCTTTCTTGAGTTCGACGTTGGATGGTTGAGACGGTCGATCGGATCCTTGAATCCTCGCCTGCGTCAACTCCTCGTTCGCCCTCTTCAATTGCTCTCTGATGGTCATGATGAAATTGTCCTGATTATAAGATCGGTTGTTGAGCTCCTCATTCTCTTCTGATAACCATTTGATCTTGCTTGTATACATTGCTTCCTTCATCTTCATCTCCTCAGCATATTCGTGTTTGTTCCTGGCACTCTGCCTTTGTAGTCCAACTAACTCCTGTCTATACAGATCCCTAATGTTCTCAGCATCTGCGACTGCAGTCATGAGCTCGGTTACGGCTCGATCTCTTTCCGCCGATATAGCCTGGATCTCTTCCGTGCCGATGTTCACAACTTGACTAACCATCTCTGCGCTGTTGCGATCAGCGTACTCCCCTAACTGGGTGAGACGATCCCGCATTGCCACACGATCAGTGTCAATCTGGTATTGCAAATCGTGTGCTGCTGAGAGTAAACAGTCTCTGGATTCTGTAAGTTGGGAGATTCTTCGTTGATTTCCATATCCTTCGACATAACATTCTTCGAGGTGTGCCATCACTACTTCGTGGACTTCGGTCTCGTGTTGTATAATCTGGTTCTGTCTCTGTTCACATTCGACCATCCATGCGTTTTGGTGGTTCAACATATGCACTTCGGCAAGTAGTTGTGCACACTTCGCATTGAGGTCTCCATCGGCCCGTGCTAGTTGTAGGTTGTCAGTGCTTGCCCTTGCTCCATCTCCAGCTTCGCTGTCCGACGGTACTGGTACAGTTGACCCATCCTCCAATGCTAGCACTCTCACAGCTCCGGTGTCAGTTCTCCTCCTTGTCTCCCTAGGGCTACGGCCTGATCTCGGTGTCCCCCCCGGTGGTGTCGAGTGCGCCGACGGGGAACGACTTCGTGCTCTACCTGTCGCATCTTCTCTCACCGCTGCCAGAGTCTCCACTTCGATCGTACCTGGACTAGAGTTGTGGGATGCACTCATCCGATCTGCTGCTGCAGCAGCTGCTCCAAAGGACGCAGTGCTGGCGTCGGATTGGTCCATCTTCAGTGACTGAGGGTAACTGGTCTATCCGATGCGTGTGCGTTTAGATGGTGTTATGTAAGGCCGTAGCTCGTACCCAGCTCAAAGGAGTCTGGATACGGCTGATAACCTGCAAACGGATGAAAAGTGTGCCCTGGCCCCGTTCAAGCCCTTAGTTCAACATGAAGCTCGCGCGCTAAAGCTCCTTTTTACCTGGTTGGGCACTTGAGCCAAAAGTATATGGCATGTACCTGTATAGCAACTATACTGGGACCTCATCCCTATTGACACATTTGTTTATGGTTCCATCATATCGGCATACATATCTATTTATATATATATATACACATACACGCCCAACATTGGCCAATTAGGCAGCCTCAAGCTTCTCAGAATATGCACCCCCGGCATCCCAGAAACCACAGACCCCGCCTGTCTGCCATGGACTGCTGTGCTTCAGCCAGCCTGGAGGGCCAAGAACACGGCAGTCCCGTTTCAGGGGTGAGTCACTGGGAAGATCCAGTTCCTGTCCACTGACTTGACTGATCATGCTCAGTACGCCGTTTGTGCCACCAATTCCACAATACACGGGTCAAGAGCCGGAATCTTCAAAACTAAGTCAGTTGGGCTCCCGGGCGCAGGCTGGTGCAGCAGCGTTTGATGCGAGACATGACCTGCGGCCTGCGCCCAAAACCCGGACACGCTGTGAATTCCCCCGCTCCCCCAAAAAGAATGTGGATTCGGGGGGGGGGGTGTTATTCCTAAGGAAAACATAGGCAAACATAGGCAAACGTACAACCCTCAACTCGCTGCAAAGCCATGTGTTGCTATGGAACATGGATACCACTGATCACCATGTCCCGGCCTCGTCGCTCTCGACCTGACACAGGCGACAGAAACAACGCGTGTGCGACCATCAAGTCAAGCTCCCTTCTTTGGGACTCTTGGGACCTCCCCCCCCCCCAAAAAAAAAGTAAAAACACCAACAACTATGTCATTGAAAAAGATCGAACAACCCAACCACTAGACTACGTCTTCAGAAGGTCGTCCACAAACAACTACGTCTTCCGAAGCGTCGATCTTCTCTGGGGGCAGAAACCGGTCACTGTCCCGGTGACCGGTCAGCCCGCCCCACGGCCGTTCCGCCTCGTCCAGGTTGGCGGACTCGTAGGCCAGGACGAAGGGCGCTCGCGTGGCCGAGCTGAAGATCCGACAGAGGTCCACCTGCGCACGACGCGTGCGACGTCGACATGTGTTGTTCGAACTTGAACGTCCATGGCACTTGACCCGTCTCCAACACCGTTCTCTTCATGTGCGGCTCGAGTCTCTGCAGATGACTGTTTGATTTGCTCGTTTTTGTGCACATCGAGCTTGTGCAAAACCCCCGCGCGGCGCACGCTTGGAAAAAGATCGGCGCACATCGAGTCGCGGGATACGAGTACTTATTGATATTTACACATTTACGGTTACTATTTATATATATACACAGTACGTTGGGTGAGGCTGTTGATGGTTTTGGTGGGGGCTGATAATGATCTCCAAAGAAATCCGGTGCTATCATGGGGTAAGCCAGGTCAACATGGAGAAGTCAGAACACTATATAGATAGGGTCACTAGGACACTTTCCAACTCAACACGCCAAGCAAACATGACATCCTGACAGCCCGTTTGAGTGGAAGACAACTTGTACAGGTTCGAAAGGAGCCTCTCCACTCTATTTACAGGAGTAGGTCCTTTCGCTAAACCGAAAGGAAGTGCATTCGGCAGGTGTGCTGGACCAGACAGGTCATTTGTCCTGGAGGCCTCAAGAGAATGCCTAAAAACTCAACGACCAACGTGGGGTTTGGTGACTGGGACTTGGCAGCCAAGGAAAAACCCGGAACCCGAACCCATCCTTCCAATCATGCCAACGCACGTGAACATGTAGGATCTGGTGAAGGCTGTCCAAATCCCTCCACAACCTCGGCAGGGATGGCTTGGACCCTGGCGTTGTCTCGGTTGTTCCGCAACCAATGGGATTCAAGGCATCCAAATGCGGGAAGAGTAGACTGACTCTCAACCACGAACACTTCGGTATGGCAAAGAGGGCCCTCTCTCCATGTCCATGTTGGACTTGGCATTTCTTGGTATAATTCATACTCCATCTGGTAGTCTGGTAGTTCTTAAAGCCAGTCCACAACAAAATCCCACCAGCTGACACTGGGCCCGTCCGTTCCGCTCCGTCCCGCTCCGTCCCGTTCGTTGGCTTTCGCACCCCAGTCCGCACCGATTCCGCGCCGAGTCCGCGCCCCCGTTGGCCGCGTCCGGGCGGAATGTGCGCTCCAAGGAGGAAGAATGGCCCTGCCGTGGCCGAGCCGGAAACCGCGGCGAGGCGCCACCCGACCGAGCAAGCGGTCGCGACCACGGCGAGCGGTCGCGAGCTCCGTAGCGAGCTCCGGGACTTCTGAGAGGCCAAGCCGAAGCAGGACAAGTCGGAGCAGTTCCTATGTCGGAAAGGCCTAGAAGTTGTCGCGCCGCACTTTTCTTCCTTCTCAGATCCTTTGCAGTGCCAATCGTCCACTTCGGTTGAAAAGGCTAAGGAACATTCTGAAGACTCTTGAGGTCTCGACTAGGTAGCGGCAAAGGCACAAGCTTCAATTGCCCACTGCACATGGCAGCTCGCGCCAGCCGAAGGGTCGTGCAGAAACTGCATAAAAGTGCACGGCCTAAAGACTTGAAAGAACCTTGCTTCTCATGCGATGCCCATTTTGAAGGCCTCATGCAAGTCGAGTAGCGGAGTCGAGCGCACCCACAATAAACAAGGAAACATCTCTGGCTAAGAAGCCTGCAGCACCTGGAGAACTACTTCATGCCCCAGACCTATCCAACCTATCCACACTGCATTTCGTGTTTTCCGCAAGCGGGCTCAAACCTCATTATGATCCACTCACAGAGATTCAGCAACCTTCGAGTTTGGACTCGTTGACCTGCCAATTATTCCAAAATTGTAGGAGACGGAGAAGCGCAAATGGCTGAGTGGCTGGGCCAGTATGTAGTGATCTCCCAAAATCTGTTGGGTGGCAAATAGCAAGGTTGGTTTGTCCTATGGCCTCTGAACCCTCCACAGGCAAACCATTGACTTACACATACTTACAAACACACTTCGCACAGTGGCCCAAGTTCCAAACTCTCCAATTCTTGCCCATACGGCAATTCAGTTTAGGTCTCAAATTCAATTTAGAAGGTAAACCAGTCCAACCAATTCCATCTTCACCTTTCTGTGATGCATAGGACGCGCCACTGCCACGATCTCCCACTTGGAACCTGAACCCTCCGAAAGTCTCCATCCATCCAGGCCAAGTGGCAGCCTTGGTCTTCTTCATGACAGTGTTGCTGTACGAGACATTCATCTCAGCGCCATGGGCTTGACGTTGCTTCGAGTGCATCTGGTGGCACATCGCCATCTTCTTCGAGCCGAGCGAGACGTAGGTCTCGCGGGTCGACAAGTCGGCCCTGGCGCGATTTCGCGGTCGAAGCTGCCGCAAGCTGAAGCTGCCCTATAAGGGGGTTGTGTATATGGCCTTTCTTGGGCGATCTGAGGGTGGATAGTGGCGATCTGAGGGTGGATAGTGTGCAGAGTCTGCTTTCCAAGGAGTGACATTGATGTCCTCAAAGAAAAATCATCTCTCAAACGTCCCACTCTCCGGACGTCGTGGTGTGTTGGAAGAGTCTGGGAACCCTTCCCGGTCTTCATCCAATTCACCGGTTCCCAGCCTGCAGTCGTGCAAATCGCCTGCAGCCGTGGGTCCGCAGCCCATCAGGAAGCACCAAATCAAGGTGCCACAAGAAACGGCCCCTCTACCAACCGGACCCCTTTGAAAAGGTGGGTCCGGTGCAGAAAAAATCTCCAGAAGCCGCAACTGACCAAACCATATCATCTCCAAAAGAACCAGCATCACATGCCTGTCTTGCCTGGGTGTCCTTTCTGGTCCCGACCGTCAAGTGTCTGTCTGCGAGGACTGCAGCCAAGGAGCCCAGAAGACCCACAGAGGTGGCATCGCCGTTGATGACCTTGTACAGCGGAGGTGGATGAGCATGAGCAGACTCAGTCACTGGTGGTTACTGCAGGTAATGGACGGAGTGGACCTCAAAATCCATAGACCAGCAGTCTGGTGTTCCTTTTGGGCGGGGGCTGGGTGGTCGGCTCCGGCTAGTCAGGATCCTTATCCCTCGCATGTTGGGAGAGACAACCCACTTTCTGCCACCTGGAAACCAGCTGTGATTTGCCCAACGCCGCGATCGCCTCATCCAAGATCCGCTTGGCCTCATGGTGGATCAAAGGTGGTGGCACCATCCAATACAATCCTTCTTCTGCAAATTGCCTCCCAAAAAAAAGGTGTTGGGAGTACCTCCTGTCCTCACGGTGTCTTCAAGGTGGAGGAAACATGTTTTGGGGTCTTGACTTACCATTGCTGTCAGGCATGTTGCCCAAAGAATCTGGCATTGAGCCACAGATTATGTGCATTGTTAGCGAAATGTCAACACTGACACACCCTTGGTTTACCTCATGTTGGTGACACATGACATGCAGCTTCATCCTTTATTTCATATACTATGTTTTTGGGGGGTGCATTATTATAGCAAAAGACTTTTCAGGGCTTGCTTTTACCTTAGTGGGTCTCTATGTTCAAACCACGGGAAAATATCAAAAAGCCATTGAAAAAATATAAAGATATATATACATCTAAATCTAAAACATAACAATAATAAACATTGGCTATCAATACATGATTGTGTATGGTTGTAACTGCTTGATGGAATCTGTTGTGGATTCACCTGCGCGTGCCATTTTGGGCCCGCCCTGAGGCCTCCTCCAGGTTGCCGCGGTCTGCCGCAGTGCGACCGCGCTCCAGCGCATCGTGGGTCAGGTGTCGGTTCCAGTGGCGCTCCACCTGACACTCGCAAACTCGCATTCAGAGCACTTGGGAAGGTTTTAAAAATACTGGACACCCGAAAATGAAGACAGTAAAAAAATTGAAAAGGGTTGGTCACTAGGTTGGTACATTTTTCAGACTCTGGACCAGCGTGGGGACACTGGTCCGGGGGGCGCTCGTCACAACAGTGTCCCTCGGCCTGAGGATGTCCCGGAGTCTCCGGCACCTGCAGGCCATGAGCCGGCGATCCACGGAAAGGGTGAACCGGAGCACGGGGAAATCTGCATCTCCCAGTCCAGCGGCTTGCTGGTTGTGATTGTCTACCCACTTCATGACCAAAAAATATATACATGAAAATGAACCAACAAAATGCGTCACGGTCCTTTCCATTCATCGTCATCCATCCCTTCACCGCCACCTCGCCCACCTCGCCCACCTCGCCTGGGCACGACGCTCCAGCATCAAGGGCTTCAGCTCCTGCTCGCTGCGCGTCTGCACCACGGAGAAGCCAGAGGCCGTCAGCCGGCCCAAGGCCTGCAAGGCCTTGAGGGCGAGATGGAGATGGAGATGAGTGGAGTGTGGAGGGAGTGGAGGGAGTTGAGGAAGTGGAGGGAGTTGGAGCACCAATCACGTAACCTATACCTTGTCAAAGAAAAGCATATGAGTGCACAAAAGTCTTGTGCATCTCTCTGCGTGTTTGCCTGCTTATCTAGTGTACGGTGAACTGCTTAAACCTCTGCTGTTTCTTCTCAGCCACAAAAAGAAGGAGCCTCTTGCCAAAGATTTCTCCGGGTGCATCAAGGAGGAGTTCCAGACGGCAAAAAGGCTTGCACATCCCGGTCATCAAAAATTGACCACTTTTTGCACAGTTTGGTCAGCTGTCACCGGCTGGCCGCTTCGCCTCGTTCTGCGCCGCCGGCAGGCGCAGAGAGATCAAGACGTCGCGCCTGCAAGCATGAACCGAAACCAGTACAGAATGGCACTGGTCCTACACCAACTGGGGAAGAAATGCCGCAGGACCAGTGTTTCCTGTTCCAAGAGTGCATCTGCTTCGTCTGTGTTTCACCCACATTCCATATTTCAAGCCGAAGTACAAGAAATTTGGAGTCAACAACAGTTTTGCCCAGAACGAGACTCACAGCAGGCAGAATAGGCAAAATCCACCGTAACTGGGTCATTATATAATTAACAGCTCGATCAGTTTCAGGACAGCCTCAACACAACTTGGATTTGACCAAGTGATCAATGATACACACCGAATCAAATACCGTCCACCTCAGTGTCCGTCCCATCCTCAGAAGAGTTCCCTCTCAGTCACTCGCGGCCCGCTGTCGACGACGCCCCGAAGGCCTCTCTTCAGCGAAGAGGTCGCCCAACTCGACTTTCACCCCATCCTCTCGGAGTGGCTGCGGAGTGGAGCGAAGCGAGCGGGGCGTTGCTGGAGGCCGTTGCTGGAGGAGAGATTTGTCTGTTGGATCTTTTTGGGGTCACACGGATGTCAGGTCAGCTCAAGGGACCCGCTTCACAAACAAGTTCATGGGCATCATCTGGACTGAATATGGATATTCATTTTGGGCGGTCATCCCAGCAAACTTTACTCATGATGCAGCGAGTTCACCGACTGCCCTTTCCTCAATGTTCAGGTCCAGCCCCGTGTGGTCTCGTCTCTCCTGCGTCGGCTCCACTGGGAAGGTGGTGAAGGCGCGATCCAATTGGACGCCCGGTGCCAACTCCAGCTTTAACGAAACGTTCTGGTGCGTGGTGGACAGCAGGCCTCGCCGCGGCAAACACGGCGCCAGCGCAACATTGCAAAGAAAACACGCTTTTTGTAGGAACTGATGAGCGGTTTGATGGAGGCAATAGTAATAAAGGTGGGATAGCGCCCTCAGTCCTCGGTGTTTAAGGGAACTGACTGACACTGCCAATCTTTCGAGCTCCCTCCTAAGGGGAAAACGTCCGGAAAAAAAAAGTCCTTCTGACAGGTGATATGCATCGGCGAAAGCTGCTGTCAGGAGCCATTTCTCAGAACTGGTAGAACTTGTCTCAATGACGCAATCAAATCGGAGGAAAAAATAACAAAACACTAATGTCACTAATCATGCCCTCAGGACTCTGTGCCCAGGACACTGCGCCTCCCAGCGCTTCCCCAAAGCATTCAGCGATTTGGTCCTAGACGATTTCGCGCCCATCTGGAGGAATCGATGCCGTGGGCCGTGGGCGGCCGGTGGGAAAGGAGGGAGGAGTTGGGGACGGTCCGCGCTCGGAAAGCGGCCCGCGCTGGTCGGATGTTCGTCTCCTTTCATGTGAACCGTGGTGGACGCGGTTTCTAGAATTGGTGCTGCGTGGCTTCGGGCAATGGCAGGAAAGAACCCTCTTCCTGTGGTCGGCTCCTGGGACCCCAAGTCGGCTCCTCGGACGACTGCACAT